TACAAGTTTATGAGAAAAAAATTGTTTCGCTGTTATAAATGTGCCTTTGATCTGCCTTTTGCTTCCATCTTTAGCACTAAGATCAAAAATGAAGGATTGGGAGGTATTTTTCTGTCGAATGGTCCATTTTCTTCAGAAGGAGCAAATCTACGGCTGACTCGTCTCGACTGTTCTAATTCCCCACATGGGGATAATTAGAACAGTTCGTGGAAAATACACAGGATTTACCTATAAAAGTATTTCTCATTTTCTATTCGTATTTTAAGTTATAGTTAGACGACTCCTTAGCATAAATTATGCACAATTGTCTTCTCTATTGATCTCGATAATATGCATAATTTATGCTAAGGAATCGTCTAACTATAATTTAAAATACGAATAGAAAATGAGAAATACTTTTATAGGTAAATCCCGTGTATTTTCCACGGACTGTTCTAATTACCGACATGCGGGATACGACAGGAAAATGGATAATTTAAAAGTCATCCACCCATCCAGAAAAAGGAGATTTAATCAAAACCATTGTGCCACTTTTCTGTTTATCATTCTCTTTGGTGGTCACAACATCTGTAGAATAAAAAAACGAAAAATTTGCAGTTTTTACTACTGTTGTTCGTATTAACTTATCAACGTGAAAACGTTGTTGATTTAGCCGTACTATATTGGCGTTCATTGGGTTCGATTGCCGTATTATTACAGGAAGTAATTAGTGTTATTCTTATATAACACAACCAACATTAACCGTCCAACAATCGAATCGTGTTTGCCATGCATTAGCCTTGCAACAATATATCGCATCACATTTTGATGCACGTTTATTATTTAATTAAGCAAATATTGCATTGTTTTTAGATCCATTTTGGAATACAAAATTATCAAATAAACCAGTTGAATATTTATGTCTAATATCATTGTGTGTCATTGGTGTACTGGATAAAACAGAAGAGACAGAGGTTATAAATATTCTATTTAACAGAAATTATACTTAACTATTTATCATTAAGAATTACACAATTTGTATTCATTGTTCAGAAGCACCTCGATCCGAAATTTGTTACGTACAGAATCCGAATCTACAGTCGGTTTCAGGCGAATAAGCTTCTAAAACTTCTCGATCTGGTGGATAAAATGCACTAGCAGGCGACATCACCGATGGATGATACCTGTTCTCATTGGTCGATACTACGACTAGTAGAATGAACTTCTCTTCTATCATAAACTTGCACGCTTGTTTCTCAGTAGTGTAGATATTGTTTCGTAGATATAGATCGCATAAAATTTGGAAAAGACTCTAAAAATGAATCTGGCCGCCCTGCATCATCTTTGCAGAAATAATGTATTCATATCATTTTCGAGTCTGACACTTGCTGATAACTAGCCGTAGTCGAGTTCGAGATAATCGTGAAACTGCAGTCTTCACATACGGGTTGTTCTTTCGAAAACATACCACGTTTACATCGACTTTATCCAACAGTTCGAGAGTAATGCGTCTCATTTAATTAGCGTTTTTATAGCGTTCGTAACGAAATGGTGTTAGTTTATTTTGAGTGGCCTGTTTTGTTTGTTCCTTATACTGAAATGAAACGTGCAACACATTATTATAACTTGTGGAATAGAGATTAAAATGGATAATCAAGTGTACAGTCTTATGAAGTGCTACGCATCCGATTAGGATATACTAGAACTAAACGTTTGACCTGTTCTTTGCTATAATGTATGCTGGTCCGTTTGCTAGTCGTTTATTTGTTTGTTTTACATTCATTCTTGCATTCTTTTATCAGATTCAAAGCCATTTTTTTTCATTAATCAGTAGCAATTTCTTTCTCTTGATGTATAGCTAGTAGCCACGTCAGCAGGAAGTGGCTCGATCGGACTTTTCGATACGGATTTTTGCTGACAATTTTTCAGACTTGCTCAGTAAATTTTGACAATCTATATTTACCTTAAGTTTCTGATAAACATCCTTTTACTCCGGCTTCTTAATGGAATTTGGGTGCTGCTACTATATGTAACGCAGTTATGCCCTACTTTTGCTCCACGGTAAAATTGAAAGACTTATCTGCGTTGTATTATCTTTTCCTCCTACGATGCGACAAGTAACATATCTCAGAAAATGAAAGTTATCTCGTTATCCATCAGCAAGGTTCCGAAACCGTCAAAATGTCAGATCACTCTTCGATAGAAGAAAAGTATTTCGTGCTAAAGTGTTTTACGAGGAGAAACTGGTTTCTCAATTCTATTGTTCTTGTTTATTTTAGATCTATTTTCTGTTCATTCACCGGTCTTGTACAGAAATAAAAGATGGCAACAACTGCTGTATCCCAAATGAAAACTCCATTGAATCCACGTCCGTATATAAATGAACTAGTTGGAAAAAAAATATTAGTTCGCCTCAAATGGGGAATGGAATACAAGTAAGTGCTATCACATCCATTTTTTTTAGATTTTTTCTTTTTATGTTATGAAACCCACATTTGCGTCGTCGCATTGACCTTTATGGATCTAGGAAAGTTTATTTTAAAAACATATACTTGAAAATTAACAGACACCTGTTAACTATAACTGGTAAACTTAATGGAAGGTGTCAGAAGACAACTCACCTCTCTTCACAAACTTTGCCGAAGCTAACGAACTTATTGCTGCAAAAAAGTTTTAATTCCAAAAAGCTTGTGTTATTTAAACAGCAATAGAAAAAATATTTTCAGAAGTCGTCTTTCACCATTTCCCATATTTGGAATAACTTGGAATTCGTTATTGCTTTGTATAACCATTTACTTTATATTTTTAGAGGTGTATTGGTTAGTGTTGATCAATATATGAATGTTCAATTAGGTAATGCTGTCGAGTATATTGATGATATAAATAAAGGTCCATTAGGTGAAATAATGATTCGGTGTAATAATATTTTATATATACATGGAATGGACGAGGATGAAGATGAAGATGATAATGCTATGCAATGAAAACGTTAAAACAAAAATGACTTTTTATCTCTATTGTTACATTACTTTTTGTTGTTATTATTATCTGTTTGTCTGCTCTTTTGTAACATAAAACTGAGGAAGAACAAATAAAAAGAAAAAAATTAATCTCATTTTTTCTGTTATAATGATTTAAATTTCTTATGTTTTATCTCCTATTATCTAAACACGAAGGAGAATAATGTCATCATTTTAGGTTCATGATTTCTAGTTGTATTCTATAGATGTGAATACGATCTTATACTGAATATTGGGATATGAGTCGGTATAATTCAGAACTAACGTAAGTGCGAGTGAAACGATGGTACTACTGTTTGTTTGTATAACTAATATTTCATGAAGATTTGAAGAAAACAATTGAATGTATTTCTTTCTAGTGATCAATGTTGACTATTTTTTCTTATATAAGATTAACTTATGAGTTTCAAACTATGTAATTTCGTTACGTATGCAAAACGAGTTATGATATAAAAAAATCATGCTCATTTTCCAAAGATTAAAAGAACATACATACTTTGTTGCCTGAAGAGTTTTTTCATATTGATTTTAAAATTTCTTGCCACTAGTAGCTACATCTACTTTAATTATTTTTTAACTGTTATTCTGATATATTGTCTTTTTGTTTAAGAATAAGATTCATTCAGTTCGAAACAAGAAGAAGAATCCGTACAACTACTTTTTTTTTATTAGAATGTCAAACCTTATAATTCATTCTCTCTTACTGTTGTAGATAAATTTCTCTCTGTCTATATATACTTTCTCTTTTTTTTGTTTGATGTGATAATGTTATTGCAAAACAATGCACCAGGAACTACGTGTCCAGCAATGCATCCAACATTTCTACAGCAATCAACATTGCCTCCACAATATTTAACCAATGCGTATCCACATCAACAACAACAACAGCCAAATTCTCTATATCCACCGCGTCCGCCGATTTTCAATGGACCATCCCCTATTTCTCCAACAGCTCTACATTGGTTGCAAGTAAATGGAGCAAGAATAATGTCAGATAATCGTCTATTAACAACACCAGCAACTATCACCTCATCCTCAACATCGTCGATAATTCAACAACAACAAGAGCAAAAGCCAACACTTCAGTTCGATGAAAATGCGTCCAATGTGAATATCAATAATAATTATATGAAAAGAGAACAAATATTTGTAAGTAATTCATTTTAGTTACTTTTATTTTATTATGAAAAAGAATTCTATTATTACAGGAGAATAACTGTATTCTATAGCAAAGGTATCGTATATGTGTGAGTGAATGCAATGATGATTAGTCACCATTTTTAACCTAATTAACTAATTATCAGAAATACCTTATCCAAGAGGAAATCTTCCATATAATAATCTGTCTCTAACAGACATCCTCTTTCAAAGATCCCATTTTTTGACTTAATGCTTCATTATTCAATCGATAATAGTCATAAAACTAAGTTAAACTTTGATTCACCGGCAGATTTTTAGAAAATAACAATTACATCATTTTTGCTGCTAAGCTTAACGTGAAATGGTTCATTTGCAAAAACAGCTGATATAATTGCAAGAAAAGCATTTCATCTATATATTTTTGCCTCCTTTCGAAAAAAAAAGCTGCTTTCTAACAACATAAACAAATTATATTAATAATCAGTATTACGCTCTATCTTACTTATAGGACTCCTCTTTTCTTGTAAATCAAATCATGTTGCAGATTATAATTATTGGTAAGATAAATATGAGCACGATCCTACAAATGTTATTTCTCACATTCGTATATGTAATTGCACACATACCACCTGTGTTGTTATTATTATTGTTGTTGTTGTTGTTGTTGCTATTATTGTGTATGAAACACATATTTTTGATTGCTATTTTCATTATGTCACATGCTTATTCTGTTCAACGTAGTGTTATTTTGGCATGTGTTTTGTTTTGCAACTTGTGTTGGTGTTGGCAGATATGCTCGATTAAACTGTATAAAATAAGTTTTTATTATATACTGGATGAGAACTAGAGAGAGAAAGAGCATGTTTAAACTTTAACTCTTTATTTGTAGAAGGAATTATACTTTATCTGTTGTGAATTTCTCGTGATATATGCATGAGGCATGGTTAGCATGAATATTTTGTAGTGTATTTCCTTTTTTGTGCACTGTATATATGTACATATATCTAAAAGCATGTCCCTTTCTGTCAACTCCGTCTTATTGATAAAATACAATATTCTTGTTATTGAATTTGACTGAACAACTTTTCCTTTTTTTATTATGATGTGTTATAAACATCATTTTTTCTGTTTGTTCTACGCTAGTTGCCGGTTTGAGTGATTAGTTCATGCTAAATTCTTCAAAGTAGACGGGTGGACATGTTACTTATAAATGACGTTTTTCTGCTTTAATTAGAGTTGTGAGGCAGTTTTACTAGTTCAAAACTGGTTTTTTATTCGAACTTTATTGTACCAACAAATAGATCGACCGTTTTAGTGAAATGTTGTCCACTATATAATAAAGTTCTTTCGTAGGAACTGAATTTTCTAAGAAAAATGATAGCTACACAAATTTCAACACTAAATAAATTTACTCTTTTCTTTACAACTTGTCTACTACTAGAACAAATCACTACGGATTTTAACTAATCAAATCAAGTTCAATCGATTGCGTTTTTTGAATTACCAATTTTCGTCTTTCACTACATTTGCTTTATTTTTGATACTAAAGAACAAATAAGACTGAAGTTATTTAAAATAAACGATTTTTATTTTATTGTTGTTTTGTCAGGGGACAGGAACGAAACACAATATTTTAGAATGTATTAATTTTGTCCAATTTTAATATACTAGGCTCGTGTATATTAGATTATCACGAGTGTATCGAACTACGTAAAGCCACGTTCACACGACACATTTTTAGTTTAATCCTAATCTTTCCAATCTTGTCCCGTGTGAACGCATTCAGTTTGTTAACTTAGTTACGAACTCAGTTTGGCAATTTGCCGACTTGGTTAAGTTAACCAAGTTTATAGAACTTGGTCAAGGACTCCCTATTAAACATCGATCGATCAGTGATTAGTTGCATCTTCTACACATACATTATGGTCAAATAACTTATACACATATGCAGTTCGAATCGCATTTGTAGCTCATACAACGTTCCGCAAATTATTCGAGAAGGTAATTTTCATATTGGTCAATCCCCAGGCAGTGTGGAGACATATTACGATCGGGATGTACTCCCAATCGGGATTATCAAGAAAATCTATATCCCAATCAGGATATCAAGAATTTTAATTTTTAATTTGTAAGAAAATGATAAATTTTAATTATATGAGAGCTGAATATTCTTCTTCTTTATTCCTCCTCTCTAATGTTCCTAGTAGTAGTGTCTTTTGTTTTCTCTAGCTGATCGAAGAGACACATATCTTTTTAACAGACGTAAATAGATTTCTTCTATTAGACATCTTTCATATGTGAGTGTAGTATAAAATATAATAGAAGACAGAAGACAAAGTCGTTACCACGCACAGTTTCATCTACCATACATTTGTAACGTTCTTTTCTTCTTCGTCGTCTTATAACTATCAATAATTCACTTGATTCAATTATGCCTCCCAAAACATCAATGCAAAAACACCATACGGGTCCAATCGTTACAAAATTTAAGTC